CCGCAGGGGCCCCCCCCCTGTCCCCTCGCTGGGTGCCCCCAGGGCTGAGGGGACCTCGCCGTCCTGGTCACGGCCTCCCGGCGCCTCGGCTGCCTCCTGCCCCGCATCCCCAGGGCAGCGGCGTTGTAGAGCCTGGTTGCGGGGCGGCAGTCAGCATCCCCTCTGTTAAGGGAGGGTCTCGGGCTCCTCAGAGCCAAGTGGGAGCTTAAAAGAGGGGTTTTAGGGCTAGATTATGTGCTGGCCGCAGGGATGTGGCGTCTGGGGTGAAGAGGAGGGTGTCTTTTTGCTCTGGCGCTTGCCCAATCCCTCTGCTGCCTGTCTCAGGGTTTGTTGTATTTCCTACGTGAACAGGTTCCCGTGGTCCTGGGGTTGCGCCAGCCGGGTGGTCAGTAGCCACTGCTTGTAGACTTGGCAACCTCGTCTGCCCTCTGTTTTCCTCCTGCGCGCATGGGGAGCGAAGGTGTTCTGGTCCTGTAGTCCCGGGTGGGATGTACGTGCGGTGCAGGTAGAACAAGACTGTTGTGCCTTTTTAGTAATGTTTTTTTGCAGTTGTTCGGCTGCTGTGTTTGACTTTTATCTGGCTGTTTGCTATTTAGGTTAGCACCTTCCTCACTTTTTGTTATGTTCAGGTGTATTTAACGGTTGGACTTGGTGATCTTAAAGGTCTTTTCCAACCTGGATGATTCTATTTCTGTAAAAGGAAATTCACAGTTACAAAGATGAAAAACAGAGTAACGCTAATAAAGGTTTTCTTCTCTTTAGGTACAAGCAGCTCCCCAACAAGTGGCTGAAGACAAATTTGTATTTGATTTACCGGACTATGAAAACATCAACCATGTAGTGGTCTTCATGCTGGGAACGATACCATTTCCAGAAGGAATGGGAGGATCTGTCTATTTTTGTTATCCGGACCAGAGTGGGATGGCAGTGTGGCAGCTGCTGGGGTTTGTCACTAATGAGAAGCCAAGTGCCATCTTCAAAATTTCTGGTCTGAAATCTGGTAAGACTGGTAAAATGTCGCAGTCAGTAAAATAAATGTGGTCCTGCATGCATAAGGGGATGAATGTTTGAAGGTGGTTTTGAACAAAAAGCTGCTTGAAAAAGCAGACCTCTGTGTGTTTTCAGGTAGTCCCTAGCAGATGTGGTACTAGAAGCAGTCTGCCAGCTTTATGGAAGTCTGTCTGTACATTAACGTTCCTAGCGAAATTTCTCTCATCTTCTCTTGTATGTGATGTTGATCTGGAAATTCCTTTGAGCAGGCTCGGCGTGCGTTCCAGTGCTGCTGCATGGAGAGCCTGGGGAGGAATGAACCCAGTACCTTCCATAGCATGATTCTTAGGCGTTTGTCTAGACATGCCTGCAGCCTTTTCTTTCAGCTTCCACTGCTGAGCGGTTGTATTCTTTGTAGCAGCGAGGCAGGTTTTGGAATGAGTAGAGTCTGACGCAGTGATTTCAGACGGCTGGCGGCTTCCCACGCAACTGCAGTCGCGCTATATAATTGTCCAGTAGAGGGTGTCTGCATTGGAAAGCAGCTTTCCAAATGTTTTCATATTTTTGATACAGACCCAAGTCGGAGAAGTCTGACTCATATGGGAGCCAGAGAATGCTGGTGCTACCTGAAGTAGCTGTGAGTGTGTTTTCCTAAATATATGGGGGTTTTGCCATGCCTATTAGAAAAATGATGAGGTGCCCCAATGGCCCACCTTTGCCTTATTAAAGGGACAAATATGTCAGTCAAGCAGCTTGAAGTCTTACGGTGATAAAGTAATACATATGTTTTATTGGCTTCAGTGTAGTCTACAGCCTTAACTCGAATCCCTGTTTAGGTCAGTGCTGAGGTTGCTGTGAAAAAGTGTATTAATTCATAATTAATGCTTTCTTTTGAATCGGTTCTGGATGGCAGTGTGACATGAGATAAGGGCTCTCAGGGTGCAATGCCAAATGAATTCTGATCATACGTTCCTCAAAAATTTGGGCTTTCCTTAGAAGAGCGGACGGCCACAGGAGGAGGTGGGGGGGGGGGGGGTGGTTTTGTATATTCCAAAGTTGTGGTGTTAGTGAAACAGCAAAGTGTATCACTGGTTCTTTTGCCAGCTTTTGCTGAATGTTTCTCGTGCTTGAAAGACATACTGCATTGTATATGCTTTCAGCCAGCTTTGTAGGAAAACGCATTTTCAGATGCTTTCTGCACGATTAGCTGTAATTTCCAAGTAGGGGCTACTCTCAAGGAAGAACTCTGTGACGTGGTTGAATGCATGTGCTGTGCTTGATCTGAACCACAGAGAGCTCCGCCGTTCCCATCGTTGTCTGCAGCTGATCTCGGACTATAGAGTCAGTATCATCTATGCAGCCTCAGTTTCCATGACTGTAAACAATTGTAGGATGGAGAAGACCATGAGACTGTAAGAAAGGGGACACCAGAGAGGAATTAAAGAGAGCTGGAATCATCGAGAGACTTTACTGACACTGGAAATCTGTGGTTTGGGTTTAATGCCTTGTCGAGAGGAACAAATTTGTGTCCCTGTCTGCCAGCTCCCTGTGAAGCAGTGGCTGTAGCAGTTTCTTGATGTGTGATGAAGCCGGCCAGCATGTTTCTTATGTGGATGTGCGTGGCCAGCTGAAGTGGCAGTGTTTTATTACACAGACTCTGGGAAAGGTTAAATGTATCGTTTGTAACTCTTAATGTTAAGTTTATATTTAGTGTCTGAAGTGCCCTGGAACTGTACAGGTTTTGCGATGTGTGTAACTTGCCCACATTGCACATTGTTGTAAGGACTGGTTGGGCTGTTAAATACAGTTTCTGGGGATGTGGTGTTAGAATTCTGAACTATGAGGGTCCAGTAGAATGGTGTTGCCCCAAGGTTTTTTGTTTGCTTCTCTCCTTCGTCCTGTCCCATGCTCACTTAGGGAAGCCAGTGCAGGTGAACATCGCAGCGTTTCCAAGTGGGATACCAGAAGGTTGTCTCAAAACACGAAATTGCTTTTGTTGGAATACAGTCTTCAACGTGAAAGTGATTTGTGGAGGAGAGGCTAAATTATGAACCTGGAAACTTTTTCCTTGACTACAGGTGCTATTTAAACTCAGCTAGCCTTCTTTGCATAAGAGATTTCCAGATTGGGTCTTGAAGGTGTCTCACAGGAATGTCATAGTGCCCTCTAAAAGATTCCCTTAGAGCTCCTTTATAATCAGGAAATGTGTGTTGAGTTGTATTTGTTAGTAGTCTCGATAGAAACTTAATATATCTAAACCCAGGCTTTTCTGTTGTTCTTGCTGACTTTTAACCATTCTTAAAAGCTACGCTGTGAGGCTAGAAATAGAAGTCCTTGTGTGGTTTGTGGGGGTTTTGTGTTTGGGGTTTTTTTTGGTAGTGTTGTTTTGGCCCCTTGAGTTAGCGAGTGAAGTCTTGCATCTGCTGATGTTGGTTATAAGTCTAGGAGTCAAAGGCCCAAAATGTCCAGCATTATTAAATGTTTCTTTTTTGAGGATTAACTATCATGTAAGGTGGTGACTGGCTTTGCAATATAAGCATTAAATCTGAATTATTTTTTTTTTCTCTGCAGGTGTAATATTCATGTTTGCTGGAAGTAAGACTATTAAATCAACTTCCTCCCCATCCCCACCCAAAAAAAAATAATTGGTAGTTAGATTTTGTGCTAAAAGCTGAATAATATATGCCTGTGAGGTTTGGGGGGTTGTTGGGCATTTCCCTGCCCCCCAGTGGGATGACAGTCAATGTGTATTCTTTCAGTCTCTTACTCTTCCCACTTGTGTATTTTCCATTACAGATAAAATGTTCAACAGAATGTAGTGAAGGCAGAATAGAATATTTCTGGCTTTAACAAAGCTGAGCGGCTTCTTTACTGCCAAGAGGAGTAAAGTAGCAATATACCTTTGTGAAAGAGGCTGAGTTGATCTCTTGAAATTGTGCAATTTCTGCACTTGTGTAACAAGCTGCAGCTGTAATTACATGTTGTAGTAAGATCCCATGGTGCCTGTTGGAGCTGCACTAGTAGTGCTAACTGTTTGCATTCATTGAGGTGACCGGCATCCCTAATGGAATCACTGTGAGCTTTATCACTCAACACAAGGAACCGTGGCCCCAGAGAAAGGCCACCAAGATGATCCAAGGCCTGGGAAGCCTGGCATATGAGGAAAGGCTGAGGGAACTGGGTTTGTTCAGTCTTGAGAAAAGGAGGCTCAGAGGTGATCTCATTACTCTGTACCAGTACCTAAGGGGTGGCTACAAAGAAGATGGAGACTCCCTTTTCACAAGGAGTCACATGGAAAAGATGAGGGGTAGTGGGTACAAGTTAGTCCTGAGAAGATTCCAACTGAACATGAGAGGAAATTTTTTCACTATTAGAACAGTCAACAATTGGAATAATCTCCCCAGGGAAGTGTTCGATTCCGCCACATTGGACACTTTCAAGATGCAGCTGGACAGGGTGCCGGGCCATGTTGTTTAGACTGTGCTCTTACCTGGAAAGGATGGACCAGATGATCCTTGGGGTCCCTTCCAACCTGGGATTCTATGATTCAGTTCTCATGGTGTGACTGAAGAGCTGAGGTTTTTTGCTTGGGCTCCTGATGCCCTTGCAGAGCATGACTGCTCTTGGAAGGCGAGACAGAGGTTCTGCTGGGTTTTGTCACAGGTGTTGTGTTTAGGTTGCTTTGGAAAACGCTGTGGATAGAATGTTTCGCTGTCCTTCCTTTTCAAAGCAGGAAGTTATGCTGCAGGGAAGCAGTTTGGGCCTAGAGAACCAAGCTTTAGAAGAATGCCGTTGCTGGCAGTTGTCAGTGTTCCTGCTTCGTCTGTACTTTCAGATCTGGAGAAGAAGAATGGCTGGTAACACTTCAGCATGTGCAGTTATATGTTCTCTGACTGCATGTTGTTTTACTGATTGAGAGTAGACGAATTTCATGTGATTGTGCATAAAGAAGGGTCTTAGAAATACTCCTTGCCTTGGAATTGTAAGGGGTTTTATTTTTCAGTTGTGCCTGAAAGTGTGGTAGAAATAGAAAACAAACCTTAGGCTGGGATTTTGCACCCTTACTGGAAGTACGTTGACAAGTGGGATAAAAGTTACAGGATAGCTTTTTCCATTACAGACTTTCTGCTGTGCAGCATGCAGTGATGTGTGTGATGCTGTTTTCCCCTTACTAATACACCATCTAATATAATGTCTGCATATGAGGCCTACACATGGTCAAGGATTTTGACTTGGTTGGGCTGAAAGATAATGAGAGCTCGCTATCTTCAATCGAGGTTTCAATGAAGGGAAAGAAAGGGGTGGAAAAAATATTTTTCTGATTTCAGTTGCTGGGCTATGACATAGTACCTTGGAGACTGTAGGGTCTGAAGGTGAAAACCTGAGCTTGTATTGCAGTACCGACTAACATACTGTGTTCTCTGTAGGGTTTGGAAAGTTAATTGCAAGAGCCAAGCATTGAAAACATGGAATGTATTTCAGTTGGTGTAAGGAAGGCAAGGGGATTTTTTCTCTCACCCTTTTAGGCAGACATCTTTCCAAGAGAGTGGTTCCATGACAGTGCATGCAAAGTGACGGAACAGTTGTATTTTATTATTTAGATCAGGAGTGTCTTCCTCAAGTAGTGATATACTCTGATGGAGTCTGTTGCTCCATCACAATAGGTGTTACATTTTGATTGTAAATGTCAGCTTCTCAGGTGAAGATGTTTACAAGATGTTTTACATCTACCAGCTCTGTTACTATTGGGATGTTTAATAATGAAGTTGTGTGATATTTTGTTTCTAATAGCTAATAAGGTCTCCCCTCAGCCTCCTCTTCTCCAGGCTCAACAACCCCAGTTCCCTCAGCCGCTCCCCATCAGCCTTGTGCTCCAGACCCCTCACCAGCTTTGTTGCCCTTCTCTGGACATGTTCCAGCACCTCAGTGTCCTTCTTACAGTGAGGGGCCAAAAACTGAACACAGTATTCGAGGTACAGTCTCAGCAGTGCCGACTACAGGGGCACGATCACTTCCCTACTCCTGCTGGCCACACTATTCCTGATACAGGCCAGGATGCCATTGGCCTTGACCACCTGGGCACACTGCTGAGTCATATTCAGCTGCCTGTTAACCAGTACCCCCAGGTCCTTCTCTGCCAGGCAGCTTTCCAGCTATTCTTCCTCACACCTGTAGCATTGCATGTGGTTGTTGTGACCCAAGTGAAGGACCCAGCACTTGGCCTTGTTGAACCTCATCCAGTTGGCCTCAGCCCATCGATCCAGCCTGTCCAGGTCCCGCTGCGGAGCCCTCCTCCCCTCGAGCAGATCGACACTCCTGCCTAACTTGGTGTCCTCTGCAAACTTACTGAGGGTGCACTCAATCCCTTTGTCCAGATTATTGATAAAGATATTAACCAGAACTGGGCCCAAAACTGAGCCCTGGGGGACACTGCTTGTTATCGGCCACCAACTGGATTTAACTCCATTCACCACAACTCTCTGGGCTCGGCCATCCAGCCAGTTTTTTGCCCAGCGAAGAGTACACCTGTCTAGGCCATGAGCCACCAGCTTCTCCAGGAGAATGCTGGGGAGACCGTGTCAAAGGCTTTGCCAAAGTCCAGGTAGACAACATCCACAGCCTTTCCCCCATCCACTAGGTGGGTCACCTGGTCACAGAAGGAGATCAGGTTGGTCAGACAAGACCTGCCTTCCATGAACCCATGCTGGCTGGGCCTGATCCCCTGGTTGTCCTGCTTATGCCTGGTGAGCACACCAGGCTTTTACCTTTATCAAGCAAGCATCTATCTACAGTAAAGGTTGAGATCGCACAGCAACAGCATTTCTCAAAAGTGCTTCTAAGTAATGCTTCAGGAGATGAACTCTCTTATTCTTGTGCTAAAGTAATATTTTAATAGTGAGTGCGTTACTGGTAAATGTAGCGCTATATTGCAGTTGTAGGATCTGGAGTGAGGGGTGACACTTGGCTTCAGTTGAAGAGGGTACGAGGTTTTTGAATGTGCTTTCCCTATGGGTTGGATGTTTGCTTCTTTGTGGTGATGCCTTGTGTCTCTGCAGAACGGGCAAGTTTCTGAGATCTTCAGTCTTTGAGACTCAGTTTGACTTCTCAAACTTGTGCTGGTTTTGCTGGCTGAGTTTTTGGCCATGGAACTTACGTCAGATGGTGCTTTAGATTTCAGTTAGCCTTTCTTGCAGCTCAAGATAGTGTTGACTGGTCTGTAGGACAGCTCTTAATCAGCTTTGCTTTCTCCTGCTAGTAAGAGGCCATAGAGTGCTACTGAAGCATCACGTCTGCCATAAGAGTGTCTATTGTGTTCGCTCAAACTTAGGTGGAATATTAGTGTTCGTTTACTAATAGCATTGTGGTCCCCCAGACCTTTTTCTGGTATTTTCCTTTACAGATACTGACAAAGAGGAACGCATGATTTAAGTGATTCTAGATGCCTGGCATTGCTTGCAGAGGCCCTAGCTGAAACTGGGACTGAAAGTACTGGTTAATGTTCAGTTGAGAAAGGTCAGAAGTGATGGCAGGGGGCTGGGATGGTGCCTGTATGAGTGGCACACAACTTGGGGGTGTTTTTCTGCCCAATTCATTGTTCCCTATTTATGGCACTTGCAAAGTCAGTGGCCTTTCTGTTCTGTGGCTGTTCCTTTGACCTTTGCTGCTGTTGGTGGTTCTGAGCAGTTCAGATGAGACCTGGGGCTGCCCAGCCCTCCACAGGGATAGCTTCTTGAAGTAACGTTCTCTGTTCTTCAGTGCACAAACAGGTTCACAAGCACTTGGTTTGAATGAGGGAATCGAACCACCGTGCAGCAGTGCTGCATGTTTCCTGTTTATCTGTAGTTGTTGCAATGTGAATTAAAGGGTTGGTTCCTATAGAGAAAGGTTCTGCTGTCTTTTACTTACAAATAGTATTTCCCATTGGATCCATTTACTTCATAGGGAGCTTTAAGATTGTATTTTTCTTTTTTTAAGAAAATTCCTTAAGATCTGCTGTGGTTTTTAAATGTACCTATTGCACTGTTTCATCTGTTGTGCTTGTGTGTACTTGTGCCTGTGCTTGGACTCTGTGATTTCTCTGTATTTCTGAAGCAGGGAGATCTCTCTGGGAGTTGAGGAATACCTTCTACAGAAGAAACACATTGATTTAAGTAACACAGTCTTTACATGTGTGCCAAATCTAATGCGTGCTGTTTGTGGTGCTTTCAGGGAAGGGAAGTCAACATCCCTTTGGTGCCATGAACCTCCCTCAGACACCAACGGTTGCCCAGATTGGAATCTCAGTGGAACTGTTGGATAACCTGGCCCAGCAGACTCCTGTTGCAAGTGCTGCTGTGTCATCAGTAGATTCATTCACGGAGGTATCTTGGACATTTTGTTTTCAGAAATTCTCTGTGCTACAAGTCTTAAGAATTGAGCCTCTGAAAAACTGATTAAAAGAAAACAAAAAAAGCTGCTATCGGTAGCTATAGGATTGTAACCAGCCTACCTGTTGTCAGATAATTTGGCTGGATGCTTTGATATTTTGAAATTACTTTTTCTTACACGGGAAAACTATGTCTTCTGTAAAGGATTGGATTTTGCATGCTCAGTGGAATTGGGTCAATAGACTCACTTGTGTCGATGTCACTTTACTGTAAAAATATTTAAGATGCTTCCTTATAGGAGCAGCTATGACTACATGCATGTAAGAGACAGTGGATCTTTGGTGATCTGTGGGTGCTGGAACTCCAGTGCATAGGGATGGTCAAAAATTACTCAAAAGTCCAGGCAGACATGGGCATGGATGCAGACAGATATCCAAGTGTACCACTGACCCTTGAGAAATCCTTCTGATGTAGTTCTGCAGAGCTACAGAATCATCCCCTCTCCCACAGAAAGACGTGGGTGTGGGTTTGTTTGGTTTTTTTCCAGTTCGTTCCCTATGGACCAGGCCAGGGGCTGCAGCGCTTGCCATTTTTACCCAGCCCATCTGTTAGTTTGAACCTCTGGCGGTCCTCAGCCAATGCTGGCAGTTAGTTGGCCATCTTAACAGCAATTCAAGGCAACCTAGAGCTGCTGGCAGGTCTTGATTTCCCTAACGCTGATGGCTCTAGCATTATCTTCTACCACTGCAGAAGTTGGTGAGGCTTTTCTTGAGGCTTCTTTTTTTTCCCCTGCTCACTTTACTTACAGACACTTGCTGAGGTAGATTGGTAACAGAACAGTAATCCTGATAATGAAGCTGATGTCCTTTGGCAGTTTATACACACAATAGCTCCAGTAATAGGTAATAAGTAATAATAAGTAAATAAGTAATAGTAATAGGTAAGGTCTCCTGGAGAAAGGTATCATGACTAGGAATTGACCGACAGCTATTTTTGTATAGTCTGGTTAATTCAGTTTTTTTGGAGTTGTTAGGGGCAAATGACATCTAAATAATATTTCTGATTCCATCAGTTTTTATAATAGCAGTAGTTAAGTCATGAGGCAGTAATGTGCCACTTGAGGTCATTTGCAAGGTGGCTGGTGGGTTTTTCTGGCAACAGTATTTAAAGAAAAAAACCCACCTCATGATTGCATAACTTTTTTACAAATGTTATTTCCAATTAGGTGGATTTTTCTATTAAAAAAGAGTAGCATCTTAACAGAAATGGTATATTGCTTTCAAAGAATGCAGTTGAGTCAGAGGTTGAAGTAATACTTACTCCTATAGAGAAAATGTATAGTGTCATAGTTGAAGGAAACCGTTGAGGCAGTAGATAGCAGAGGAAGGAGATGTGACTGGGAGTGTGTTTGTGAATGGGTATTATTTAATACTTGACCTCATCTCTTTGCAACTGCTACATCAGAAAAGTATTTTTTTAAAGGCAAAATCATATGTTGCTACTCTAAGTTAAGGGGTTGCTCTCCCACTACATTTTTAGTAGGTTTTATGAAGCTTTATGATTGCATATACATAGTTATATTATTAAAAAAATTGCGTAGGGAAAAAACACAGAGTTCTGCATGTGAGTGGGGTGAGACTGAAGGTAGGCTCCTGGGTTCTAGGACATCAGTTCTTCCACTCCTTTTGTCAGAGCAGGTGGAGGAAAGCAATATATGAGCACTCTTGTGCTTTCCTCCATCATTTCACTGTCTATGAAAATAGCTTGTTCTTCCACCAAAACAATGCATACTTTTTTTTACAATAAAAAGAACAGGGGAAAGAAGGAGGCACCGTAGGCTTATGTATTTGTAGACTGGCTGGGCAAGTCCTACAGCCTCATCCTCTACATGCAGGGCTTACTACTTCTGGGCCTCTCTTTCGCTCTTTTACTTCCTTATTCCTACAGTTTAGGAGTTTCCTAAACATCTTTTTCATGTTTTCTGCAGCAAGATCTTGTGGCAGAGGATGCCAGGATAGCAGCCCTTCTGTGGTGAAAGCTAAAGAAATTTCCCAGTTGCTGGAGTCTGACAATGAGTTGTAACATAACAAGGCAGATTGCAGACTTTTCAGCTGCTTTAACCACTAGTGTTTTGCTATGAGCTGGAATGGCAGCTTTGACCTGGTCTACAGTTCTTCTGATGGTTTTATGTGGAGGAGAGGGACAGCTCTTGTCACTGCATCACTTCTTTGTCACAAGAAGAAAATGTTCTTCCAAAAGGTATTTATCCAGTTGCATGAAATTGGGAAGGAAAAGGGCAAGTGAAGATTCTGAAAATTATTTCTGGATGCTGGATGGATCTGAGGGCAAGCAGAGAGTTAGGATGTTTTGATCAGTTTAAAAAGGACATCCCTGGGCCTACTGTATCCACTTTTCCATTATGTTTTAGATAACAATGCTAATTTTACTTCATATAGGAGTTGTATATCTGTCAAACTTTTGCACAAAAATTTAAATTGAAAAAAGGACTTACTTAAAATGTCTCTTGTGTTTATTTCAGTTCACTCAGAAGATGTTGGATAACTTCTATAACTTTGCTTCGTCGTTTGCTGTTACTCAGGCACAGATGACCCCAAACCCTTCCGAAGCTTTCATTCCTGCAAATGTAGTTCTGAAATGGTAATGGCAATGATCTTGAGTAACAAGTGTTCTTTTTTCTAGGCATTAAACCATCTGATTTTTAACTATTGAACTCCTGTCATGCTAATCAGCGAAACGATGCAGAAATGTTTAAAAGTGTTTGTTGTTATTTATCTGAAGTATAGAGAGGTTCTATCCACTGCTTTTATCTTTATTTGTCAGCCTCTTCATATCAATTTTTTGTTAGAAAAGTGCTGTACAGCCTATGAAATTATTTTTTTTTTTTCTTCTAGAAATGTTGCCCTTGACATACGTAGATTTGTGCTATGCTGATTATGCAAATGCTCGGGAGTCATGGAAAGACAGAACACACTGATACTTGTCGATTTGTGCTTATTTGTTATGCTTGGTCTCTTCCTAAACAGGTGGAGAAATCATGTTCCTAGTTGACTTGGCTCTGTCACCAAGACCCTTGTGGGGGTTGTTTTCCAGGAACTGGTTTAAGAAATAACTGTCTATGCCCATGTAGTCTGGAGATAAATTGTGGACTGCAGGCAATCATTTAGGATGTCGGAAAAATCCTATCCTACAATTCATCAGTTTAGCCCTCTTTAGACTCTACAGTATTAACCCAAACCCTTTTTAAAACAGTATTTTGGGCTCTCTGAATACAGTTTTACCGTTAGTACAGATCTCGTGAATATGCAAGCAGTTAACATAAGCAACATATTTTCTTTAGGAGTGGAATTTGATGCAGATCTCTTCTGTTTAAAAGGTAACTCCATGCACTCCATGAACACATGTGGGTAGGATCTCTGATGAGAGAAACCAAAGGGAAGACAGGCTAAAAGACGCTGGGTAATGGCTGGTCATTGCCTGGGTGATGCTGAACGTGCTTTTGGTTGTTGCTCAAAACACTGTAGTGAAGTGAGGCATAACTCTAATAAACTGAACACATTTGTGTATAGAGATTTGTTAAGGTGATTACAGCCACAGGAAAAACAAAATTTTTTGGCTCTGTTCATGTGTCTGGTTTAATTATAGCTTGTGATACATAGAGTATCTTAGGTCTCTGCAATGGGCTGGCTGCAACGGAAATTCAGTAGTTTGGCTTAGAAATTCATTCATCAATAAGCCTTTCTCTAATCTGAGTGGGTTTAAAACCCTTTAGGGTCTTTTCTCATTTGAGTCGGGTTAGGAGCTATGAGATGTAGGAGAACCTTTTGTTTTCTTTGTTTCATTGGTGATACCTTTTGATGCCTTACAGCTTGGGTTTGTGAGGATTGAAAGGGGGTTTTAGGCTTTTATACCTCAAAGCCTGTAAATGTATTTATTTATTTATTTTTAATTACAAAGTCACAGAAATTGTGTACTTCCCTATGCCTTCACTGTAGGTCAATAATGAATTCTGACGTTCGGATGGTTTCTGGTTTGCTTGTTTCTGCGAGTATGGAATGTGAAATTAGTACAGCATCTGTGCTTATTTGATTCCATTATGTGTTAGAGAATTACTTTTCCTCATTAGATATTTACTAAAGCATTACTGTATATAATAAATGTGGAAGTTAGAATTATTTGGTGCAGGTGGAAAAATAATGGGGACTACTTTGTCTCAAGGTTTCTATTGGAACTACAAAGCACAGCCCTGAGTGCAGAACCGTCTGCGGTCCCCTCTTCCTTCCCTGTGAGCAGGTTACACATATCCCGCTAGGAAGCCATCCGGAGTTGGAGGCTGTGGTCTCTGTGCAAGCTTGCTCCAGTCTGTCCAGCTTGCCAGCTCGTGTCCACTGTTCTGTGAACTGGGAAGTGCCAAGCTGGCTTGGTGCATCCTGGATGGAGCAGCACTGAGGGGGGGTAGTACAGGGACAGCTGAACGGGATTCAGAAGCCGTGGCATTACCTTGTTTTTCCTGCTATTACCGTGTATCCCTAAATGGCATGAGGTTTTCTTGCCTTGGTTTTGCTGGGGTTTCTCTTGTGAGGTACCTGGCCTGATCACTAAGATGATGGGCAGACGCAGACTCACACTTCTACCTGCCTGAACTTTGATTTCCTAGCCCAAAGAATGTTATGCACAAAATAGCTGCTTTTAATCCACTTACAATTTTACTAAGCTTGAATGAGCATCCTCTGGGATACCACTATTGCTGTTGAAATACACGTCTCACTCTGCATATTCTTATTATGGAATCAGAAATGAGGATCTTGGATTTACTCGCTTCCTGGTGCAGAGTAGATGTGACTTACCATGTTCTCCGCATAGACTAAATTATTTGTATCATTTTTTTGAAGCCATTTTATTTGCAATAGCTTTTGGGTTTTGTTTTTGTTTGTTTTTTCTTTTCTTTTAGGTATGAGAACTTCCAGAGACGTCTGACACAGAACCCTCTCTTCTGGAAAACATAAGCTCAAATTGTGTCATTTGAAGTGCATTCTAAACAGTGTTACCTGAAGGATGCAGCAAGTAACTCCACTGAAGAATTTTGGGGGAGGAAAAAAAAAAACAAACAAAACTATTAGTCTGAACAGACAAACTTGTAACTTTTGTATTACTCTTGACAATTATTTAAAATTAAAATCAGTGAAAACTACTTGCCTACATGGTTTCTTTTAATTGAAGTACTTGGCTGCAACAAGAAACCAGTGTTGCATGCGTAGAAATATTCTTCTGAAACTGCATTTAAAGTAGAAGAGATGACAAGATGAAAACCAACAGCACCATCTCGTGCTTGTGCGATGCCAGTCTTGGGGGGTTTAGCTGTAAATTTAGCTGTAAACAAAATAAATGTAGTTTTTCCTTCTTTACCTCATTCTGAAGGGTGATCGGGCAACTGAGAATACGCTGGTGGTTTTCCTGCTGGTACTTACACTGTAAGTTCTTTCAGTTTGTGGACAACCAATATTCCTATTCCCAGCTCCTATATTTCTCTCTTTTTGCCATGAAGACACTATTGAGCTTGATCTCAGAGTACGCATCTTTAACTTTCCCTGTATGAAAGTGTAACGAAGAGAAATCTTTGGGGACTCTTGCCCTGCTGCAAGTCAAACAGCTTTGAAACATCCATTATGGGCCAATTCAGGGTTGTAGATTTGTACTTTGCAGGCCCAGACTGTTCAGTGAGGTAAGAGCTGCTCGGTTACTGACATTGGAGGTATTTGATGGATTTGTCTTTCTCTTCAGCTTTCTCTAATTGTGGTGTGAAGAATGACATGGAGGAGGAGAAAAATAAGCATAATGGTTCTTAGTACCTGGAAGACTTTTTCCATGAGGAAAATGGGTTACATCAAAATGTTCAAGTTATGTCAGGGATTTGTGGGGTGTCGTTTCCATTGTTTGAGAGGAAGTTGTTATGTTCCGCTTTAAGAAACTCATTGCAGCACAGTGAACTGAAGCTTGTTTTGACTATCCCGTGAGCCTCTCTTGGTCTCCTTTGAACTTGTCTGTGATTACGGAGGTGCTTTGTTGGAAGTTCCTAGGCTCCGTCAAAACAAGGAACATTGTTCTGAATTCTTCTGGAGGGGTTGGAAGAAGCTGATGTCCCTTCGGTTTGGTATGAGAAGGTATCTTTTCTTCAGTAGTTTCCACTCTTTCATGCTCCAGGTGGCACAATGTCCCTACTGCGATGAAGAAACAGCTTTGTTTCCAAGCACCCTTGTCTGCTCTAGGTGCTTTGCTTGATGTTTGAGGTAGCCCTGCCATCCCCCCAGTCTGTTTTCCTATGTCTAATGCTGGGGCAGCCATGTATGAAGGAAGGGGTGAGGGAGAAAGCAAGAGAAGACCTTATTTCTTCCCCCCACCCAGTTGTTGATGTGTGAGAGAGGGGACACTGGTGTTCACTGCAAGGAGGGTGGAGGACCTGGTGCTTTTGCAAGGCTCGGCTGTGATTGATGGCTAAAGCAGGACAGTTATCATCCCCCAGAGTGGGTTCCAGGCATCGTCTTCATGCGTGTCGGCCCATTCTCTGTTGCTGGTTTCTCCTGTTTCCTCGAGGAGAGGCTGCTCTAAAGCCCCCCAGGGGGAAGCGCGTAGTGCTGCTGGGCTGGGGGCTCGCTAACTCACAACCCGGTTACAGCCTTGCAGCCGGGCCTCATGTCCTACTTGTACAAAATCGCTGCAAATGGTTTCTCACGTGGAAGTATTTTAGCACAGAGGGTGTGGAAGTTAATTTTCCAATACGCTGTCTTATGTTTCTCCCTCAGCATCAGACCCTATGGACGTGTTCGTGATGGATTTGCATAACAGTTTACGGGGGTAACGATGGTGAAGGGAGGTAAATGTCCCTGTGGGTGGGAGGAAGCCTCTCTGCTTAGTTCACACTCTGAGGAAGGGATTATCAAATGGCACTCAACTGCTGTAGAAACAACCCTCTTCTTCATTCATTCAGGGGAGAGAGAAAACCTGCTCCTCCAGCAGGGGAGGCTGCAGCCCCTCCTGTGGTCCACAGGTGGTGGGGGGGCTGGTTGTGACCTGCTGGCTTCTGCTGCCCTGCCCTGCTCTCCTCGCCAGCCCGTGGGTCACAGGCAGGTCCTGCTGCTGCCTGCTGCTCTCCTGGTTGCTTTTCTCTTGAGCCGCTTTGCAGCCTGAAGGAGAAGGGAGGCAGGGAGGTAGCACGGAGGGCTTTCTGTCAAGTGTAGAGGAGGTTGAGGAGGGGGGTTGTAATAGCACAAGTGAGAAACATCTTTGCCCTTTCAGGTCCAGGTGCTAACCTAGAGCGCGGGTGTGACAAACCACAACTGACTCTTTCTAGCCCCAGGAAGGTGACTTGAAGGCATCTGAGTCTTGTTCCCAACACTCGTGTCTCGCACAACCGGAGGTATGAGCATCAGGAGCCATTTCATGCGTGCTCTCGTAACTACTACTAACTACGGCATCTGCTGTCTCAGCCTTGGGGTCTGGGGCGCGTGGGTGTGCAGGACTGGTGGCAGATCTGACTGCTTGTTGCAAGGGGGGCAGTAGGGCAGCATCATGCCTGGGCTCTGCTCCAGCCCTGACTTCTGCTGGACTTGGATGATGCTGGGCACAGAGGGTTCCAGCTCTCCCCAAAGTGGGGATCAGCCCTGTTTGCTTAAAAGACCTGGAGCTGCTTGGGTGGAAGTCTAGGGGCTGTCTGTCCAGGGACCAAATGTGGGAAACCATGGCACACAGGAAACTTGGGGATTCACAAGTCTTCACAGCTCCTGTGGGGCCTAGTCCTGACCTCTTGCTTTTGATGGAAATCTATGGCTGAGTTTCCGCGGTCATTCGGCTACGCTTCAGGATCAAGATATGAAAGGCAGTGTCCTACTCCACTCCAGAGAGATGGGCTGAAATTCAAGGGTGAGAAAGGAATCGTTTTACTTTCCACCAGTGAAATCCTGCTTGCTGTGCCGGAGCCAGGGCGCCCCCCTCTGCTTTCTTCCCACCACATCTTGTACCTCCACACTGGCAGCCCAAACTTCAGGGCACGTTCAGCCTTCGGATGTCAGGCGGGAGGACACGCGTGTCCCTGGGTGCGAGCCACTTGCAATTTCTGTGTCAGCACCAGAGTTGCCTTGGGGTCAGCAGAAGGTTTACAGCTGAAATCAGTTGAAAGCTGCGCCATTGCAGCTCCTGCCCAGGTTGCGTGTGGTCTGTGGGGCAGGAGGGGGAGTTTGAAGACAGTGGCTTCAGGCACTTCAATGGTTTAGGAATGTGGTTGTGAGCTTGGTGACTGAGGGCATGATGTGTCTTTCGTTTGCTCTGCAGAGTTCATGGAAATTTGGGCTCAGGTGTCTCATTACATTCAGCAGCAGTTGGCACCAGGCAAGGTGATCTTTATGCCCTGTTTCTCCCCTCATACTCTGGTGGTTTTGGCAGCCTGACCCCTGCCAAAGTCGTTAAATGTAACTAGGCTCGTCTTTCTTTTACTTCTGGGGTGTTGGTTTTCTGCTTTAAAATGTAATCTACAGCTGTGCCACAAATCAAGATTTTTTTTCTGTAAGTGTACAGAAGAAACCAAGTCCAGCTCTCGTTATACTCAAAAGATCAATGCTGACAGAGTTTCTCTGGTCCCCACTGCCAGGGTGGAAAGACCACCCAACATATCACAGTTGTTGGAAACCCCTTGCATCTCCTCTAGCTGGAGGGTGTTTGCACTACTTTTACGTCAAATCCTTGTCCCTGTTGCTTTTTCCTTTTCCCCTTTTGGAGTGTCAGAATAGTTGGACTGGGGACGTTCAGTGTTCTTAACTGAAGAGCTATGTATGGGAAAGCACGATCAGTTGCCCGTTCAGAGACCCATATTTTAGCTGTCCAGTGTTGTCAGAAAGATTCTTAACCTTGGCTGTGCTAAAAGAATTATTCCAGGTATGAAGATGGAGTAAAATCTGGTTTCCTGTTGAAACAGATGTGGGGTGTCTGATAATGCTGACTAGGCATGGTCTAGAGCAAAAAGCTCTCACATTTGCTCATAAATTCATGGGATTTCGGAGTGGTCTGAGTAATTCTCAGGAGCAGTTCTTCTCTTTTGCTGCTTAATTGGAAACGTTTGCCAGGGCATGCTAAGTCTCTCAAGCCCTCGGTGCCCGCACACTGAGTGTGGGCAGAGTTACGATGGCCTTATCACGGCACTCAAGAGTTACGATGGCCTTATCACGACCGCTCTGTAGCAAGGCATTACTTGAGGGCTGCTGAAACTTGACTGCAGTTAGCATTAGTCTCTTTTCTCCTCTGGCGTTGCTTAACAGAGTCTACACCAGCTGTCCCATTGGACTATGCCACCACAGCCTTGGAGACATCAAATCCCCTGTGGAGAACTGCGTAACTGAGACTGTGCTATCTCTCTCTTGCTGCATCTTGAACAGACTGGATATTGGTTTTGTTTTCCTGGGCATGGGTGTCCTTTTTATCAGGCAAAAGAAAGACAAAATGAAGTTTTATGAAAACTTTCTTCTCAGCCTGGATGCAATGGGAAGCTTTAAAGTCTTACTGTTTTGGCAATGCTACTTACAGGATTTCAGACTGCATTCCGAAGGCCTGTTGAACTGGTGTCCCCTGGCATGCTGAAGATCTGACCACTCGGCCTAGACATTATGTACAGTAATACAGGTGCTCTACAGATTTATTCTCGTTATCAATTGTCTTGATGACATGTAAGATCCAAAGAAGAGCTGTGTCGGGTCAAACCAAGGATCGATCCAGCCCAGCGTCCTGTCCCTGAAGGCTTAGGAAAGGGCAGGAGAACCAGAGAGGGCAATGGTGGCACTTGCCACACATAGAATCATAGAATGTTTTGGGTTGGAAGGGACGCCTAGAGATCATCTAGACCAACCCCCCTGGAGGAAGCAGGGACACCGCTAACTAGATCAGGTTGCTCACAGCCCCGTCCAACCTGGTCTTGAATCACGCCTAAGTGGGAAAGCAGTCAGTGGCTGGCTGAAGGATTTGCCCAAAGCCAGGGAAGAAGGCTGTGCTTCCCTCCACTGGCTTTCATAAGAAAGAAAGGGCATGAGCTCAACCTAGGGGCCGCAAGAGGAGAAAAACAGAAGAGAGACCCAGGAAAGCTATGCAAGAACTGCTTCTGAAAAGTAAAATTA